GTACAATATTGGTCAAAGGTGGTAGTCAGTTATTGTATATCAACTGTGCATCTTTCCCTTATAGGCTTATTTGAAAGCAGTGTAATACTGCTAGTATGTGTAGAGTGGGGACTAACATTTTTTCAAGAATTGCAAGGCTAAACTTCTTTTAAAGTTCTTTTACATCACAACTTTAAGAGTAATATCAGCCACAGGCAAAACCAGTTACTGTACATCTGTAAAACACACTTTAATACCCCTCAAAGCTACTTGAAATGTACAGGTAATACATGCAGGACACGTAGTACACATATCAAAACATAGGATCTTGACAAGTGGGCTAAAATGTGAGTTTGGTGCATCTTTAAAGATTAATTTGTTCATATTTGAATCATTTTTGACTAATAGAAATAGAAAGGAATGCAGATATTTTATGGTAAGGGGGATATCTAGGTTCAGAGTAAGTACAGAAAATCTGTATCATTAAAAGCTGTACATAAAACCACTGCAAATATTTATAGATTTACCTTCAATATTTTTGCACCTCAAATGTCAAGTAGTAGTACTTCCATCCTCCTTGCCAATTGTTAAGGATATGAGAAAGACATTGTGATTGTCTTCAAAACTTTTTCTAGAAAAATAATGGAGCTGGCGGGCAAAAAAAAAATGAAAATAAAAACAGGCCTAGGCATCGTATTATGGCCCAAAATGTTACCATAGAAGCCATGAAGTCAACACACCAGGCTGGTTCAAAATTTAAACAATGAATTTTGAACTTTTAATGATACCATTGCATTGAAAGATGGAATAACTGTAACAACTAGGATGGAAAGGACTGTTTTCAACTGTTCAGGACAAAATATGAGCATTTTGTAGTTGATTCTGGATTTTCATTTTTATTTGCAAATCAGAAAAAAATGAAGCGGCGAATCCGTTAACCAAGAAATTAAATTGGTGTGGCCTAATCTTGAACTGAGCACCTTTGAATGCCAATCTCTGAGCAAACTGATGACACCCTGCTTCATGACTGATATTATAGAGATAAGCTGAAATAAATTGTCATGCTGATATTACCCTATCAGTATGCCTAACCCGACATCCATGTAATAAAGTCATGGGCCACAACAAATCTTCACCCCATACATTACCATCCATTATATTGAATCAAACGGGCTGCATAGGAATTAACCATTAGGCCACACCAAGAAGGCTCCATTTGCTATTGGTTATCAGGCAGTAACCTCAAAAGTGGTCGGTTATTCGAAATAACCGACCACTTTTTGGACCGTACCATTATACAGGGGACAGTGCACTAACAGTAGTGTTCCTTGTTTTTAGGGGTTTAAATGAGATAAATCAAAATGTGGATCCTTTAATAAAGTGAAAGACAACATTCAGGACATCCCAAAAATAGAGGGCCGGGAGTAATTCCATTTTTTCTTCACAATAATATTTAACGGTTTGAAGAAAGAACTCAAAAGATACAGTAATATGATACAGTAGTGCAATATTGTACAATATTGGCTGAACGCCATCCAAATTAATGGTTTGATAAAATTAATGATAAGTTCATGGTACAGATGGAAGTGACCATGAAAACTGTGAACATAAATGTACCGTGAAAAAAAATTAGGGATTACAGTATAGTCAAACCTGTATGCTCCAATACAATAGACTGTCTCCTTAGACTGTTTTTTTCAATGTTGACTTCCACTTTTAAAACATCTTTCTTGAATCCGAGAATCAAGAAATAAAACTGGTGTGGCCTTAGGAAGATAAGTACACTGATAAATCTCTGTCTCCCACAGACATTAACGGTCCTCTATGGAGGTCTATTTTGCCCGCAGGAGTCACACATAATGCACCTTATGTCCGCACCCTATTTATAATTCAGCCTGCTCAATGCCTATAAACCTGTCAGAATACAACATTAGCTCTGGAAAGACACAGAATACTGTAGAGATGAATTCTGAACAGGGCTGGAAATACCATGTTTTTACAGGTCACATTTGTGCAGGTATGCAGAAGAAAGTACTGTAAGCACTTAACATAATCTATTCAAATCAGGACCTCATTTGCATAATTTATAAGGAAATGCTGCAATAGCCTTATTTCTTTTTCTATATGAAAGATAAGATTGTCATTGGATGGAGAATATGATCAACTGATATAATTCATGCAAATGAGACACTTGTTTGCATAATTACTGAGAAAAATGTATAATTAGTCAGTTTGAACAGTTAACATGATTTGGCGAAGGTATGAGATCGTGGAACTCTTGTTCACAATTTTGTTCATGGTACTTTTATAGAAAGTTTATGGCAAATTCATGCCCGAGGGCTAATTGCAAGAACATCATATAACAACAATAAACAGTAAAAATGATACTAAGTAATGCTACCCCGGTAATGCTACTTTAGATATACATTTGTAATTATTGTTGGGTTTGATTTCTTTTCCGTGTGCAGTGGAGTATGAAATGGCCGACATTTTATATGTTCGCAGTTTTCGCAGTTATTTCCGTACCGCCAACTTATCATTACCGTGAACAACTAATTTGCCAACTTTCTTTTTTCTGCACCTGCTGCCACTGTGAACATATTCAATGAACAAGTCCATTTTTCTCAGACCGTGAACTTTTGCTACCCCAAACATAGTAGAGTATTTAATTTTGAGCCCAGCTATCCTGGAAAGACTCAGAATAAAGCAGACATAAATTCCTCTCACCTCTTGAACTCCAAGAGAAATTACATGGGATTAGAAGCCGAAGCGACAAGACACAGTTTTCTCACTCGTGAAATTGGCTACCACAGCTAAGGAATATCTACACAGGCTAGCCTTGACATCATAGAAAGAAACACTAACTCACACGTAAAAATGTCATTCTAAGGCCACAACAATTTAATTTGTTGTTTCTCGGGTTTTTCAGAAAAAATATGAAGCAACAGGGCGAACAAAAAAATAGGCCAAGGCACCCCATGATACTTTTGATAGCCAAAAATGTTACAATATGAGCCATGAAGTGAACATACTAGGCTGGTTTATAATCAAAACAAAAGATTTTGAACTTTTAATGAAACAAAATTGCATTGTTACATTGAAAAACTTTTAATAAAATCAAATTAACGACTAGGAAGAAAACGACTTTCTTCAACCATCGGGGCCAACATATGTTTTTTTATTGAGCATTTTGCCGTTAATTTAAAAAAAAAAATTTTTTTTTTGGAAATAAGAAAAAAATTGACAGGGCGAATCTGAGGAACAACAAATTAAATTGGTGTGGCCTAAAAAGTAATAGGATGGCTCAGACTTGTCCAGGGTTGTCAGTTTAGCTTGGCAGGTCAATGCTTGGTCTAGACATCCAGTCACTCGAAAATGAAAAATGGCAGACAAGATGGGATAACGTAATAATATACGTGTCATTTCTCCAACAAGTAATAGTTATGGCAGTCTGAGTTCGTGTGCTGAAAAGTTATCTTAAAAGGTTATTGAATTTGAGTGCAGAACAAAATTTTGCACATTTGAAATTGCATTCAAAACAAACTTGCCACGAAATCTTACAGAGGAAAGGACAGAAAGATTTATGAGCACAAAATATCAAAAGTTATATGTAGCCAGTGCTAGATTCATCGAAAGAAAATATTCAAGAATTGCAAAAGAAGTTTTCCATTCTGTGTGGTTATTGAAAACCTTAATATACTAAACATACAATAACTAGAAAGTGTTTTTTAAAGCAATAAGAAATCTGAGGGTTGTGGGAAGTATTGGAGGGTCCCTCATGCAATCCTTAGCTTCCTGAATTCCCCCATGGAAGCTTCTAATTCCTGCTGGGTCAGGGCCTGTCATTCTGCCTGTCAATCCCCCTACCCATGTGCTATCAACCAAGTACTCTGTCTGGACAAACAGACACACAAAACAATACCCACATACTATGTACCTAGAAGTAGAAAGAATTTTAGAACTAATCGATATTGTTGTTGTTGCCTGCTCTTAATTATAAACTGTTTAAAGAAAATGATTATTATATATGGATTTATCGCAAAACTAGTTTCCAACATTCGTAACCTGTGTAACACTTTTAATTTGGATGTGATTCAGTTGGAGACTTTTTGTAAGTTGTATGTAATTCAGCCAAATGGCTGCAAGGTGTCAACTGAAATAAACCATTCATTCATTCATAGAAAGCAAATATATTGTTTCACAACTTGGCCTACAGTTCCCCACCTGAATTTATGTTTAATACCTGCATTCCCTGAAGGCAGTCCTTACAACATAGCATGCCAATAACAGCATTGATAAATACATTTGTAATCATACTCTTGTATTATTGATGGAACTGCCAATACAGAAACCCTGGGGGAAGCACAGGCAGTTAAATGCAGTTCACACACATATATTTCCTGTGGGGTTCGTAGAATAAATCAGATCTGCCCTATTTGTGCAAGACAAAATTCAATGTACATCTGTACCTAAATGAGATTCAAAAGATGTTGCTGCTTTAATTTTCGTTAGGCCACACCAACTTAATTTTATGGATGACATCCACGCGAGCCTGGCCTGGCTCTAGGCCTGGGTAGTCCATGGTAGTAAGCGACAATACGGAGCCGGTGGTAATTCTGGAGGATGGCACCGATGGCACCAAACTCCATGACTCAAGTACATACGTACAGTGCCGATTCATTAATTCCTCAAAAAGCCAGCATGTGCCGACTTGTCTTATACATCGCAATGTACTCTCCAAGCAGAGCGATGTACTGCTGCAAATTCACAAGACCAGCTTTGTATTCCTGTGGTTTAGTAGCAAATTTTTTTTTGGCCAGAATTTTTTTTTATTCGCCCGTGCGCACTAGTTTGGGGGTCTTCAGAGGATGACATCCATAAAATTAAGTCGGTATGGCCTTAGTGTTGCCTAACTACAAAATGAGTAAAGTGTTTGAAAGTACATGTAGATGCTGGTGACAACCATATGCTCACTAGTATTAGAAAGATGAATGCTCTGTATTTGTGGTAATGTTACTTACTTGAGAATTTTTCTGTGTTGGTCTCATCCATGGACCAGAAGCAATAGTCAAATGCAAACGTCTGCAGAACAGGAAAAAGGAATATAATCTTAGATATATTCATATAATACGGACACGCATAAATTCATGCATGCACACATACAGACACAAACACCCACACACGACAAAACAAAAGCAATGGCTGTTTTAAAAAGTTTACAGACTTTGTTTTTAATTCGAATCAAAAATAATAATTGTTCTACACGCATTTACCTTTGGTGGCTTCCTGTTTTGTGCACCAGATGCATCATGGGAAACGTCACAGCAGCAACAATGAAAAAGAGAAACAAAGAAACATCAAGTTAGGAAACATACAAGTTGCCATCTTACATACTCACATCATATTACTGTTAATTGTTTAGACTGTATATTGACAAGATAACTTGATTCGTAAAAGAAAAACTGGGGAGCTCGAGGCCCATTGCAATGAAAATTGCATACTCAGATAAATATAATGCATAGCATAATTGTAACAATTCTGAGCATGAAGTACAGTAACTTTATGTTTTCTTTTTTTGCCAATACATTATGGATTCTGTATTTTTACTGGTAGCTTTTCAAATCTCAAGTTGCTTATAATCTTTCCCTACAAATTACAGGTGTGTATAGTTTGAACCCTGAAGGTCAATATTTGCATCAAGTTCACATTCAAAATTCTATAAATTAAGATAAAAGAGAGATGCCTGAGTAAATCTTCTAATTAAAACAAAAGGCGAGATGCCAAGTTTTTAGTGAATAAGATAAATATAGGGTGGATCTTGTAGGTTCCTGGGTAAATGCAGGGTTAATGTGCTCATGACCAGATCATTATGGGAAGATCAGCATAGGCCAGGAAACCACATTCATCTTTGACAACTAATATGAAGATTAATAATGCAGTCTCCAGTGACTGATGAACTATGCAGACTTATTGGTGATATCTATAAAGCCATCTCATGAAAGCTATGAATCATATATTAATTAAAAGTCCATACAAATGTACTTGACATTGAATTTTATCATTATAACAGTAAAAGAGTAAAACAATACTTTATGTGAGTGGGTAATGTACATGAGTAAATTTAAACAATCACAAAAAATAGTCTTTCAAATACTTCACTGATTAAAATCCTGGAAGATACCAATACTAATAAGCATAATTTTTCCATTTTGTGGCCATCAACAATCACGTGATAATATTACCTTTTCGAGAAATCGTTTTCTGTTAATCTTAATCACTGACAGAGATATATTACCCACCACAGATAGCTAGCCATTAGCAAATGTGTGGTGCTCTAAAGACCCAAGATTTAATCTACTGTAAGGCCACATCAATTTAATTTGTTGGTTCTCGGATTCGCCTCTTCATTTTTTTCTGATTTGCAGATAAAATAAAGCTTTTTGTTCTAAATCAACTCAGATATGCTCATTTTTTGCCCCCAACAGTTGAGGAAAGTCCTTTTCTTTCTACTTGTTACAGTTTTTCCATCTATCAATGCAGTGGTTTGATTAAAAGTCTGTAATTCATTGTTTAAATATTAACCAGGCCTTTTGTGTTAACTTCATGGCTCCTATCGTAGCATTAAGGGCTATAATAGGATGCCTTGACCTGTTTTTATTTTTTTTGCCCTGTCGCTTCATTTTTTTTCTGAAAAAAATCCAAGAACCAACAAATTAAATTGGTGCGGCCTAATGGTTTCAGACTCATTAGTAAATGTACAAATGTGTACGTGGTGTTACTAAGTTACCCTGATCAAGTTGGGGCCCACCTATTACTGTTTTGGTCTAATTTCAGGCTTAAAGGCCATGATACATGCTAGAAATTAATTGAATTGGCTTCCATGGCGTCACTAGCAGTACATGTAGCTTTAGTGTTAAAAATCAGCCCTAGGGCAGTTTCCATTATATTGTGGCTTAGAGATATATGAGAACCCTGGTAACAACATGACAAGGCTAGGAATCTTTCACACATACATTTGTACATGGTGCAATGATAGAAGGTTTTCTGTGACAATTTTGCTATACGTCAAAGGCTTGACAAAAAATAGGTGGAATATTTTGATTGTATCATAAAAATCATAAAAAAAGTATCAAAACATGATATTACAAAAAAATTATATTACGTATTTCCAAAGACCATTGACTCAATTAGATGTCATTATATTTCAGTCCATACCATACCATGGTATGGATGAAATATATTGTTTTCCCTCAAGTTTCTTCTTCTCCTCCTGCTACTAGGTCAAATGGATTAAAATCTATCATTTTTCATTTTTTAAATCTATCATTTTTCATTTTCAAATGACCTGAAATTTGGTATGAGGGTAGGGTGGGCAAATACCCCCAGAGATTTTTTTCCCATTTTTTGGAAACAGCCCTTCAAAAAGATTTTAGTGATGTTTTATTGTCATTCATGTTCTCTATTATAACAAAATAAGACATCATAAAAAAAGTCGGCCAACCCTTGCCTGAAATTTTGACACCTGATCCCTCCTGAACTATACAACCTCTTTTCATCCAATGACCCGCCTCTTACGGGTCAAGGGTCAACCATCCATCAAGTACATACTGTAAGTTTTCAAATATTTGCAGCCGTTTTATGTTCAGAGTTTTTGCATATAAACTCTCAGTCTCAGATCATGGAAACGTAAACAATATTTTCTTTCAGCAATGGATTTAAAATACTGTGAATACCTAAAATTTTCCCTATATTGAGAAATGAAGCCCCCTATAACATAAATGAATTTACAGTAGTATCTATCACTTGACCTACTGGGACCACACAAACATACTGCACATAACTGGTGCTTTTATAGACATTCAGACCGATTAGGGGACCAGCTCGGGTTGCCAATGTTCTGTCTATCCAAAATTTGTTTCTTTAGTCACACCAAGGGAGTGAAGCATAGTGGGAGTGTCTGTGTGTGTATGTGTGTCTGTGTGTGTGTGTGTCTGTGATTCCAAAATATACCCTGTATCCTAGTCATATATATCTATTCTTGGCTATGGGACTAGAAGAGGTGGCCCAAAACCAGGCGAAAATTAATGCGCATGCTGATGTCATCCATAAAAATTACTTGCTATGGCCTAATGGTATAAGCAACTAAAAGTACACTTTATAAATCACAAGGGAACATAACCTACTGTCTTGTGTAGACCTAGTAATGCTACACTATGTTAAACTGTCCGTGACATTTGACTTAATGCCAGCTGTGTACTTACTGTTGGAAATGGAGGGAAGACATGTCATAAAATCATGTCAAATAATGGCTTATACAGCGGAGGTTAAGTAAAACTGACATTTTGCTAAAAGGCATTTATACCGACTAAGACGGTAAGACTCAGATTCAAATTCAGGTAACGTATTAAATAACATAATTCATCAAAGTCACTCGGCAATAAGCTTCAAACTTTTGATATAAATCTGGTACATGCACCGTAACAGATCGACTGGAATCAAAATTTATGAACCAGGAACCCAAATGGTATGCAGACTAATCAATCATCGCAGTTGACTACTCCGCAACCCAAGGTCTTCTCTCTACATATCCTGGTATGTGTGCGTGGGTGGATTCTCTGTTGCATTAGAAATAGAAATACGTATGTAGAAGCAAATGCAGTAAGTGCAAGTGCAACTTAGATGTAGTAAGCTAGTACATGTACATGTATAGCCTGGATGCCAGACCCATAGCACACTAGGCCCAGAGTTAGCCACCAAATCAGGGCCTTTCTGAGGGGGCCTGTGGTACAATTTCAGGGCTGGAAATACTGGGTGCATGTGCACCTTAGTGCACACAACATTGGAGCTGTGCACCCAATTTCTTTCTATTGGTGCACCAGTGCACTCATATACTTTCAAAGGTTTACATTTACATAAGTAAAGATTACTAATGTATACTAGTATACAATGTACAGTATATTCTTGACAAGTCTTTCTTGTATAAAATTATTACCTTCGCCAAGAAGGTTATGTTTTCAGGGGCGTTCGTGTATGTGTGTGTGTGTCTGTCTGTCTGTCAACACGATAACTTGAGAAGGCCTTGATGGATTGTCTTGATACTTGGTAGGTGGGTAGGTCTTGATGAGACCTCAAAATGATTAGATTTTGGGCCCCCTAGCGGCTTGTTACGGTACTGCAGCTGAACTTCCGATTTTGATATCTCATGATCTAGACACGCTATGGTGATGAAATTTGGATGGTAGGTAGCTCTTGTGCTGGGGAAAAAGTGATGTGAGTTTGGGCCCCCTAGCGGCTTGCTCTGGAACTGCAGGGATATATTCTTGAAAATATTCAAAAGGGGATAACGCAAGAACCGGTTGACGGATCGTCGTGATTTTTGGTATGTAGGTAGCTTACGTGATGTTTAATATAATTATATGACAATTATGCAAATATGAATGTAATTTGCATAATTTATGGAGAAATTCTATAAATCAGCTGCATTCCATGATAGGACAATTGAAGCTTGTGACATCGGTAATTGACAACGAGAGAAACACAGGAAGATATTGATTATGTTAATAATGACTTAATTTGCATAATTAATGAGAAAATTTTATAATTATGTAATGATAACTGCCTGGAATTTCATACTTGTGGTATTTGAAAGTTTAGTTAAGGTGAACATCATTAAACATAATTTATTCAAATCAGGACCTCATTTGCATAATTTATTACGAAATGCTAGAATGCATTGTTTGTTAATCTAAGGCTGTCTTTTGGTTGAGATTATGATAAAATGATATAATTCATGAAAATTAGGTTCCTATTTCTTAAATCAGGGGGAATAATCTAATCTATAATTTCAGTCATAAAGATTAACATCATTTGGCGAAGGTATGAGATCGGGGAACTCTAGTTTCATATGGGACACTCCAAAAAATTTCCTGTGTACCCTTTTTTTTTGGCTGGATGCACTAGTGCACCTATTTCGCAAAGTGAATTTCGAGCCCTGTTCCCTGTTATTGAAAGTTAAACCAATTATGTTATCTGCCAAACAGTTTGGAAGAAAAATGCTGCACTGAAACCTGTTGGTATTCTCTTGGAGTCTTTGTACTTTTACCATTCTGACCTCTATATAATCACTGATCTCTGGACAGAGACATCAAGGCAAAATACAGTAATTACAGCAGACCAGACTTGCTTGATCTTGCACAATACACAAAAACTTTAATAGACACAAAATGAATCAGACGATTCACATCAATAAATGCCAGGAAGCATTTGAAAAGACTGCCACCCAAAAG